GGAAGGCCTGTCCGATGCTGTAGCAGTTTTCTCTTCTTGTCCCCGTTCTATCAGTCTTAGTCTCCTCCGTTCTCTCTGTCATCATGCGCACAAGCCCGAAAACATGATTTCTACCACTTAAACTGTGTAACTCACGGAGGCAAACTAAGTATTGTATGTGATTTACCTCAGAGTTTTAAGCTTGGACTTCTTCATCTCTTCAAATGTACCATAGCTGGGCTCTCCTTCACCCCATCGATGAGACAGAGTGGTGTACTTGACAGTTTTCAATGGTGGATGATAAGACTGGAGAAAACGCGCCCTGAAGTGCTCCCTCACATCCTCATGACTAACAAGCATCATGTCTGATGTTCGTCACATACTGATCGAATTCGTCTAGGCAGTCTTTTGTGGATTGGTCTGGAAGACTGGGAGCAGCCATGCTCGTCCACGGTGGACAGGGTGGTCGGACTCAAGCTGTGATCTAGAGAGATGCCTTGCTCGGCGCGTGTTCTTCTGTGCCACTGACTAGCCCGACAACTTGTGCTACCCTGCTGACTTAAGCCTTGGAATGAGCCGCTTGGCTTCTCTTCTCCTATGCTGCGCCCTTGGGACCCCTACTCCATGCACCCCCCTAAAAAAACAACTGGCGCCGCCCTCGACGCCACCTGATCTCCCTCTCCATCTGATTCCTCTTCCTCCTCCTCTAGTTCGTCTCCCGTTTCTTCTGGATCTCCATCTCCATCTCTGTGACTCGTTGCCTCCTCTTCTGCTTCTTTGTCACTACTGTTCTTCATCAGTCTCTCTTCGTACTTCAATTGATCCTGCTCCAACTTGGTGCCTGTTCGGGGGGTGAACACCCTTAGTCTTCTGGCGCTGTATTCGCCTTGGAGAGGCCCGCCCTCCAGTGTTTTGAGGGTATACGAGTTGAGAATTCTGTTTTGGACTTGTCTTGGGACTGACCACTTGGGAAGGATCTTGCGGTCTGTTCTGAAGGTGTGGTCGAGGTCGCTTTGGTATACCTGTACGAGTTGTCCGCGCTTGAAAATGACTTCTCCTGGGGCTCGTTGTAGGAGTTTTTTATCGAACACGACTTTACGTTTGATGGCGTGGCGTACGATCTCGTCGTATCCATCAAGTTGCTGTTGTTCTATGTATGCAATGTGCGATAGGGCATCCGTTGGACGGAGCATTGACGAACTTTCTTCGAGTGGAGTGCTGGGGGTGTTTACGACGAGGCCGAGCAACAATTCTTTGGGGGAGAACTTCAATGCTGGTAGTAGGCAGTTGTTGAGGGCGTTTACTGCTTCGTCAAGGTGTTCTGGCCATGACTGGGGGAGTTTATCCCATGACGTGTTCTGTGGCTCGTCTTCGCCTAGGTTTGGTGCACATTTGCGCTTTAGAATGTGCAGCAGCAGTTTGTTGGTCCCCTCTACGAGTCCGTTAATCCAGGGCGAATATGCTGTGATGACGTGTAGTTTGCTGTTTCGCGCTGTGCAGAATGTTTTCACGTTGTTGTTGTTGAAGTGCTTGCCTCCGTCTGACATAAATGTCTCTGGTGGTGTAAAGCTGCCGAATATGCACGATAGGCTGTCGATGGTAGTCTTTGCGCTTCCCGCTGATTTGTACTTGAAGACCCAGATATGTTGCGAGAAGGTGTTGAGATATACTCCAAGGTTGCTGTATCCTCCCTTCCCTTTAGGGAGTGCGAGGTAGTCGCCTATGAGGAGCTCGAATGGGTGTCTTCTAGTGATTGGCTCTAGGAGGGAGTGAATGTGCGCTGTTCCGAAGTTTTTACATTTTGGGCAATCTCTCACCGCAGTTAGGATTGATGTGTCGAGTTTCAGGGCTCCATATTTGGTCTAGCAGTGCGATCTTGATCGCGTCTCTTCCCCAATGGCCGCCGTTTATGTGTTCCTTTCTGGCCAGCTCTATGGCTTCTGTTCTGGGTACACATTCAACCCTGGCTCTCACGCGGGTGGTTGAGCCTCCCTTTACTCTCCATAACTTGCCTCTGTCGATTAGGTGCTGCAACGCTCTATGGTGGGCCCATTTGTGGTCTCGTAGTGAGGAGTTGTTCTGGGTGTTCAGTATTGCGTTAATGACTTCTAGAAATAGTGGTTCGTCAGTGAAATGGAGTTGCAGTGCTTCAGTCTCTGGATCTGTGCTTAACACATTTAGGATGTCATTGGTTAGTCCTGTTCGCACCTCCCAGTCTTCGCTAACTGTCCATTCACTACCGTCTCCTTCGATCCATAGTTGTCCTTCCCACTTGCAACTCAGCCCATCTGCAACGACATTCAGTTTCCCCGGGACATGCTGTACGTCGGTGATGTTGTATGAGAGGATACCTTCGCGCCATTGCGCATGGGCTACGTTTAGGGTGTCGTTGAGTAGCGTGTCCTTGAGGGCATTGCAGTCCATCTCTATTTCGATGGGTTGTCCCCAAACAATGTTTGAGAACTTGTCCAGACCGAATTTGAGCGCTGCAAACTCTAATAGGTACAATTTGTAGCGTTGTTCAGCTAGTGACATGCGTTTGGAGGCGAATCTGATGGGATGTAGCTTCTCTACCCATTTCCCGGTTGGTGTTTGGGTTCAGATTTTCTGTGATAGGACGGCTGCAAACCCTTCTAGGCATCCATCCATGGTGATTATAAAGGGTGACCCGTCATACCGGGGGCCTTGGACAACCGGTCTTGAAGTTATTGCAATTTTGAGGTCTAAAAATGTGTCAGTGTGTTCTTGTGTCCAGTGAGGTTCAAGTTGGAAATTGTTCATGGCTTTTCGATATGATGTCTTGTTATACGGGGCCGTGAGCTGGACTTTAGCGATGAGGTTGTGAAGTGGGTTTTCTCGCTTTGCGTATGCTTTGATGAGGGAGCAGTAGTGGCCCATTAGACCTAGAAATGAAACGAGGTTCAGTGCATCCTTCGGGCGTTGCCAATCAACGATGGCCGCGAGTTTTGAAAGGTCTGGTTGTACTCCGTTCGGTCTGACTGTACTTCCTGCAAATTCTGTCTCCGTTACACAAAGGCTGGTTTTTGCAGGGGCTATGGAGAAATGGCATTGTTTGAAGTGGTCAAAGATGGTGTTGAGCTTGGTCATCATTTCCTCGAACGTATCTGCTGAACATCTTCCATCATCCATGAATAATTCCATTAGCGAACTGAGGAGGAGATCATGGAGACACATTGCTGTGGTTTCACAAAACGTGGTCGGCGCTCCTGTTATGCCCATTGGCATTCGCTTATACCAGAAGTACCCCCGGCCTTCGACGTAGAAGACCAGGTATGGTCTCCACTTCTCCGGTACTTGGATTGCATAAAACCCCACTGCAAAATTGAATACTGAGAGATATCTGTGCCTGCTGAGTCGTTGCTGTTTGGCCAGTATGTCCCCTTGTGGCATTGGCACTATCTCCATTACTTTGTTGAGCTGTGCGAAATTTTGCGTGAGTCGCCACTTTTTCGGAGTGTTTTGCCTGGGTTCTGGCTCTGGGGGGTCTACTTCTTGCTCTGGGAGGTTGAAGGCCGGTTCTCGTCCTTCGGCTGTGCATTCCGTGTTGACTCGGTGTTTGATTTCATCCCATGATAGGCCTGTTGCCTCATGAGTTTTTTGTGCGATGACCATTGTAGCTGCACACTTGACGAGTTCCGGTGGGGCTCATTCAATCATGTTGGCTTCTAGCATTTCATCTATTCTGGCACTGAGAAATTTCGACTGTTCTAGGGTAAGCGGTCGTTGGTGGGTGTGTAGGTTGAAGGTTGCGTTCTCAGGGACGTTAAGGTTGAGATATGCTCCCGGGATTGGAGTGATTTCTTTCAAGGATAATGCGAAGTTTTTCGCTCATTTCCATACGAAGTCTTCTAGTTGTGTGCGTTGTTCTTGTGAGAGGTCCTCACCGAAGGTGATCAATGACAGAATTTTTGCGACTCGTGCAGGGTTTTCTGGCCATGTGTGTCTGGTGTAGATAGATCGGTTTTCGTTTGCCGGTAACTCTGGCAATTCACGGAATACTTCTTCCTGTGGGTGGTTTGCCTCCTCGTCCAGTATGACGCCTATGCTCAGGTTTGCTGCTGCGGACATGCGTTCTTCTGGTTCTGGTTCAGCTTGGTTTGTTCTGCTGTTGGTGAGTCGGACTCGTCTCCAGATTTGCTTAAGGTGTTTCTTGTCTTGCTGCTCCGCGCTCATAGGTGTGTGTCTCCATTGACCCATTGGTTGGTGCGTTGGGGTTTTTCCGTTAGCTTCGCTTTTCAACAATGTATGTTGGTCTGGGGCGACTTGCCTCAAGGGGGGTGTATTCTTACCCTCCACTAAGATTGCTCGTTGTTTGATATCCATTGTTAAGCTTATCCCGTCTTCGACCTGTTGCATAGCATGTGGGTGTGCGACTTGGTTCGTTAGCATTGTCAACTGTGAGTCGTTTGGTATCTTGATTGAATCGCTCAAGTAGTCGTGTACAGCTCTGAAGGCTTGTAACATAGGCTTCCCAAACAGGAAGGCCCAGCCGCCTCCACTGTTGAAGACTTCGAACTGTCCTTTGGTGCGTACTCCATTGAGTTCGATGACTCCTGACCATTGCGCTTCCAAGGTGACTATGGTTCCGTTTGCCATCCGCAGGCATTTCGTTGACGGGCCGAAGTTCTGTAGCCGGTGCTTGACTTTGTTGAATATTGATGAGCACATTGTGGGTACCATGGCGCTGTCATCAAAGAGTGCCCGGATCCTGACCAGTTCTCCATTTGGTCCTTCTAGTTTGACTTGGTGAATGAATGGGACTGCTTCGCCAGTTCCTATTTGCGCCTTATTGAGTGATGCATGTCCTGCCGTGTACAAGTCAACAACATTGGTCTCGTTTGTCGTCGGGGATACATGTGCGTCAGGTGTAACTAAAGGTGCGCTTGGGATCTGGGGGCTTGTCTGAATCATCTGGTCCTCACATGGTGCCTCCGCGCATGCGAGGACCTCTGTCCTAATATGGGTCTCTGCTGTTCGTGGGGTCAGTGTAATGCCCTTATCTACACCGACCCATCCCCTTTTCCCTCGCTCTGTTCTCCTCCTCCAAACTGCTCGTCTTCGTATGCATATACAAGTGAGATTGGCGTGGCTGTGAAGCGATTAAAGGCACCCAAGACTCTACTCAAAACCGCTCTCCAAGCAGCTTCTTTCCTTTCCAGACGTGCTGTATCTCCCGGAGGAAGTACGCAGTTACAGCTGTTGTGTCCGTGTGTTCTGCACAAGAAACATTCTCCTGAGCATATTGTCGCTGTCCCTGGTTTGAGCGGGTAGCCTATTTCATGCATGACCCCTGTGTTCTCCCCCCACTTCGCATTCCATTGTACGATTTGGGCTGCGTGTGCTGCGTGGCCTGCTGTGGTGTCTGGGTGGTGGGGGAAGGACATGATGAGGAGCTTGATGTTCGTTCTCGTTTCATCTGTTATTGCAATGGGTTGTTGTGGGGTTGGCTTGCGGTTGTACGTAGGCTGTGCATTCTGTTGGTTCTGGGTCGCCGGTGTTCTCATGTATCCACTACCGCCTGGGGGTGCTGTCTGGGGGTTTGGCGTGCTGATGGACATTCTGCTGAGTTGGTTTTGGAGTGCGTCAACTGGGTTGGGTACTGGTGCTCGTTGTCGGATGCGAGCTAGGTCTATCCTGAGGGCATTGAGCTCCTGTGCTTGCAGGTTATGTTGCTCCTGTTTCTCTACCAATCTATTCCCCCTCAGCTCCATAACTGCCTTTGTGAATTCTGCCCAGTCCTTGTATTCCTTGTCCTTAAGTAGGTCCTTGACGATGTCTGGTAACATGCTGCGCACTTGCCAGATCATCGATGTGCCCTGTGCGATTCCCGTGTTCATGGCTAGTTGTAACGTCTTCACTGCCCATGCAACGTGTGTCCAGCATTCCCGGTCGTATAGCATTGTCTTCTTCCCAACTTCCGTACTCTGCAGGGTGTGATCTAAAAGCTCCTTTTCATACTCTGCATTCGTCTTTTCCACTACTTTGATTGGCGGCCAACGTGCTTCGAACGCTGTGATAAATGTGGTCCATGTGGTTTTGCTCGCGACTGGGATGTTCTTGAACCACATTTCAGCTTGGGAGCTGGTGCCTAGGTAATCTCCAAACGCGTCTAGCTTGTCGGTGCTCACGGTCATGGACTGCTGTCTCATTGTACGGTTGAATGACTTCAAGAAGTCTGCTGGGTTCTCTGATGCACGGCCATCGCTGTGGAAGATCTGCAGTGTCTCTGCAGGCATGTCATTCTTGGCTTGTGTGATTGTGAAGAACGTGGCTAAATCGTAGTCTGGTGCTGCAGGGATAGGCTTGAGTGGCTCTATTTTTGCGTAGCAAGGTAGTGGTTGGAAATCGAGTGGAGGTAGCTGCAGGTCCAATTCTGGGACGTCTAGCTCAGGGAATGGGATGTTATTCTGGTCTTTGTTTTCGAGGCTGCTGAGGGACGAGCTGTCCGAACGATATGGTGTGTTATGCGAAGACGATTCTGGTGTGTCGAGTGGGGAGGAAGCAGTGGATGTTTCCATTGACCAGTTGGTTTTTGAGCGGATGTTGGTTATCGCAAATCCTGTTGGTGCTCTGGGTCTTAGGCTGCTAGGCATCAGTTTCCAATGGAAGTCCACATAAATAGTTGGAGTGAAACACAGCCCTTTTTTAATGTACGCAGGTGTTTTGAGAACACCTGCCGTCTAGCTTGGCCTTTTGGGTGTAATGCGACGTAATTAAGCTGCTCTTGCTTGTGATAAGGTTGTTGGTGTTTCTGAGTCGAGGGTTCCGCGTTCTCTGATTGGCTGGTTGAGAACAAAGACTGTGACTAAAACTGCGGCTAAATGCTAATGCTGAGATGAACGTGGGTTGGTTCAAATTCGCTCTGTTCACCACGATGGACAGGGTGGTCGGACTCGAGCTGTGATCTAGAGAGATGCCTTGCTCGGTGCGTGTTCTTCTGTGCTACTGACTAGCCCGACAACTTGTGCTACCCTGCTGACTTAAGCCTCGGAATGAGCCGCTCGGCTTCTCTTCTCCTATGCTGCGCCCTTGGGACCCCTACTCCAACGGGGAGATGTCATCAGTGAATTGGTGGAGAAATGAGAAGGATATATCCCACGGTAAGTAGAGCTAAGAGCACCTAAATGCACCTCGGCCTCACTTTGCTGACACTGCTACGTACATAGTTCAATGAGCATCCAGCGTCGTTGAATTCCATGTGACTGAACATTTCAAACCGCTTTATCAATCTAGATTGGTATCATCTTCGTTTATTTTTATGATACAGGATTTACTAGAACCCATCCTATTGGGTCCACGTTAGCCCCTCCTGTCACATCCGAGAGCGGCCGACCTGCAGGCGTCAAGCGCTTAAGCAAGGCGTAAGAAGCAAAGATCGTACGGATGCAGAAGAGGTACGCCAAGACGCTCGCTGCGGTTGTTTCGCATCCCGCGCTTCAAGCATTTGTATTATGCCCACAGGTCAGTTCCCTCCACATGGCATAAGCGCTCAATATGTCAGTCGCATTTAACAAACCGAGTTCATGCGGGACACTGCAGACGAGGTGTCGATGTGCCCCTCCGGACATCATATAACGATCTTGAAATCGCGGCGATCTGCGATTGCTAGTCGGACTTCGCAGCTTCGGTTAAAAAGTCCTCCACAAAATGTCTCGCTCGACGATGAGAGTTCATTGGTTCCGATTCCCGCCTTCACGAGCGCGTTGAGAGGTTGGGCGAATATCAAAGAATGACTGGCACCGGATGAATATTGGTTCTTGAACGGTACCATAAACTTCTTCCGCAGGAGAAGTCGAGTCTAAAGGTGGTCTGCATGCAATGTTTGAAACTATTATTCTCCGCTGGCATCCAAAGCAAAACTGCAATGAAGAAGGCCAAATGCTAAAGGTTGAAGACGCCGAGCATCCTGTTGAAATGCCGAATATAATTTTCGACACAAATGGAGATCAGATCAGATCATAAAGCGGCTTTGGCCATTCCTTCAGAGATGATGGTTCCGACCGCAAGTCAGCTCTTTTCACTCCAGCGTGCTCATAGGAAACCTTGTGTGTGTTCTATTTCCCGTCACCGCATCAACTGGTTAATGTAGATAACGGAAGAGAGATCCCCGGACTGATCGGCAAGATCTGATGGTGGGTTATACGGTAGGACATTCAGCGGGTTGCAGTGCGCGCGGCCCCGTCCAACGTGATATCTGCAATGTGTTAGACAATTGTTCTGAATGTTCATAATCTAAACCTACTGTAAGTCATCGACGCCCAGGCGGTTTGCAAAAGTAGGGGATCTGAAATATATCAGTACATGCGGTGGAACATCAAGTCTGCTGTTTACAAATGAAGGTAGGCCACTGGACGCATACCTATGACTGCACGCCACTGCGTGTGAGGGGTGATACCGAGAGCCCGATGGACAATAAGTACTGGAAAGATACGAACAGGTGAAAATGCTTACGAAATCTCATCAACGCAGGGGGCGTTGAAAAGCGCTCACTACCAATAACACTGGCAAGAATGAATCCAGTACTCTCAAACTGGTGCCAGATGCCCGAACCCGGTCTGCTAAGTTCACGACCCCAAGAAGATATGATCCGAGCAATACCAATGATGAGCCAATCGATTGCCGCAAGACTGACTGTCGTCCAAAATACGATACAGGCATTGGCATACAACGAACCAAGTGGGTCCTGGACGAAGCGGCATGGTTTCCACAACATCTCATTTCGAAGGGTTGACAGCGCACAGTTCCATGTCCATAGTTGTGAGTGAATTCTTGGTATTGAATGGTGTGGATGCGGAGATGGTGGTCGCAATGAGTCGCATACTATTACTAAGGTATGCGTGATAAGTGTCGTAATTTCCGTGAAGCGGATAGTTTGGAGGGGAGAGTACGAGATGCGCAGTTAAAGAACGTGAACACGCAGAGCCTGGTGCTGTCGGCTGCGGAATCGACGATATGCTGAGACGCGTTCCCCAAAATCGTGAGATTCGACGTCTGTCCATTTGGGAGCACATAAGCTCACCTTAATGTACTGAGGGGAAACTGTTCCAGGGGACTAATAGCAAAGTGAAAAGAGAGCTGTCGAAGCGGAGCACGAAATGTGAATAAGCATAACATGCGTAACAAAGAGTGAAGTAAGGCGTGCTAACACTCACTAAAATACTTACCCGAACATCATCAAGACCGCTTAGAAGCAGCCGCACAACCGGTCACTTCCATGCTGTCCACCTCCTGCGGATCGTTGTTGTGAGGTTTCGGCGAAGGAGTAGAAACATAGTTTTCACACCCGCTGCAGCGTTGCACTATAATCGAATGGATAAGATTGGAAAATTTGGGAAAAAAAACCGAGCGTACCTCTTTACCTCTGCGCAAGAGTAACATCAATAATAGGCAATGCATGACCTGGATGAACGAGCAATTGTTGATAGGCGGGCTTTTAAGGTAGCCGGAGAAGTAGCAGAGTATCAAAGGTAAGAGCTAGTGCACGAGCCTCAGTCAACGGTTAACGAGACTGAGGTGTGGGGACGGGTGTCTGTCGCCTTAAATATGTAGCGCAGAATGAAGTAAAGATACTCGTAACGCTGAGGATAACAGGATGCAGTTTTTCGTTAGTACGCACGCCATATTCAAGAAGCTATGGTCATACCTATCCGAGCGGTCGTGTACGCCTGTCTTTCTGACACTGACGAGTTGAACTGCTGCACTGTATGTCTACCACACGACGCTCCGGACCAACTCGCCAGCGCCCGCGATGAATACGCCACTTTATTAACATGCGACGAGCTTGTTATCGTCGATAGTCGAAGCTGCACAGAAGTGTGTGAGGTTGATATCTGTCTGTACTTGGAATTAGGTTCGAAATCTAGAGAACGAGGCAGACGCTCACCACTGGTAGGAGGAGCTATATATGCTTTCTCCTCGATGCTTCCCATGCAGCAGTCCAAAAGCGTCTCATGAACCGTAAGATCAACAAGGGTGCTGTTATCATCGGAGGGAGGTGAAGGAGGCGTGGCAGCACAAGCTATGGAGTTGTGAGGAAAGAGGGCCAGAAAGGATCGCATGTCCAAAGAGGGTTATTGGGAGTGACATGCCAGAATAATACTATATGTGATGCGTGGGACTATGTTATCGTCGTGGATAGATGAATCTGGAGGAAGCGCACACGTTAGATGTCTGTCTGTACATGTCATCAGCATTTGAAATATGAAGTACGAGATAAATACTCACTGTATGTCTTCCCTTATAGCACCACCCCGACACTTCCCTCACAGCAGCTCCACACCGTCTGATACGCCGAGCGATCAACGAGTGCACCCTCACCATCGATGCGGCAAGATGTGTCCATGTTTGAAAGATCGAAGGATACGTGGCAGCGCACGCAATGGAGTTGGGGTGACGGGGATTGGTCGCAGGAGAAACGGGAGACGATGGTGAGTGTGTGTGGGGAGGGCGGTGGTGGTGGTGGAATGTTTGAGGAGGGACGGAACGTATGAGGTCATAGAGGGCTGTTGGATCTGTTACCTCGGGCTGAGGCTCGGGCTCGGGTTCTGGGGAGTGAGAATTGGGCTGGGGAGAGGAAGAAGGGGGTTCTGTGTGAGAAATTGAGGGAGATGTCGAGGGTGTATGTAGTTGGGTATTGGATGAAGGATCGAGCCTGCGAGCGAATAGACCAAAGACCATCGTTTATCGTTCTGACTGACTGCTCTGCTCGATACTTGAAGATAATGAAATCAGGAAACAAAGGAAAGACGGTATAAAAGATATCTGGAAGCTAGTAAATTATAATCTGTAGCGTGCCCTTCTCCTCGTCGCCTCGAGGTCAACGCGTGCAGCATACCACCTGTATACCAAACAAATACAAATACAAATCAAACGATGGCAAGTCGCGTTTTCCTGCTGACCCTGTCACTGCGCATTGCAACGTTCCATGCTAACTTGGAAAAATGAAATCAGCATAGCATTGCAGAATTTTGACGCCCAAGGCTAAAGATCTGCGTATGGCATGAGGGGTCCGCTAGTTCGGGTGTACCTTATTGGAATTCTGCAAGCAGTTGGATAAAGTCTGCCGAGGTGCCGAGTGAGTCAAGTGAGTAGTGTAAGTATAATGGACGACCGCTGTGAGCAGTAGTAAGTACGTAATATTCACCCCCGTATGATCTCAATGGATATGCTGGTGGGACAACACGTCTGTCTTTGGTGCAAATGACTACTATGCGGACTCTGGAGCTTTACTTGGGGGTTAGGTGAGGATGGGGGGTACTCTAGACAAGCAAATATATGTGTGAGCTGCCACTTGGCCGCAACACTTATTACGTTACACTGCTTACTCAGTTTTGTTTGGCTCACTCGGCACCTCGGCAGACTTTATCCAACTGCTTGCAGAATTCCAATAAGGTACACCCGAACTAGCGGACCCCTCATGCCATACGCAGATCTTTAGCCTTGGGCGTCAAAATTCTGCAATGCTATGCTGATTTCGGTTTTCATGTGAGGAAATGGAGACGAACACACCCGAGGCTCTGCCAAACGGCATATAAGTTGTTCGTCAGTGGGGTTTCAAGTTCTCTTCTAACTCCCCTCGCCGTGCGTCGGATTGCTCCTATCTTCATCCACCGTACTCGTCCATACGTCCCTATCCACATCTTTATCGCTTTTGTCCACTGTTCAAAGACGGACCAAGGCTATCATGGGAAACTGCCTGTCAAAGGCGCGAACGCGTTCCAGTAAGGGCCAATTTGGTGACTTGTCTGATGATCGTGCAAAGGAGAACAAATTATCTCTTGTTGGGCACACCAGCAACTATGGATCAGCGCTGTCACCATATCCTACCTCTGCCGCATTAGCAATGCCCTTGCCCCCTCACAATGATGCCAAAGGTATTTATTCCCCTCCGAAGTCTCACTCGACATTTACGATCCCACGACCAGCTCCATTTCCGACGCGAGCGGAGTATCTCCGCCAGCCTTTGCGTGCAGAATTGTTGCAAGATGCGCTTCAGACGCTTCGCAATTATGACACGACTATCATCATGGATGATTCTTCATCTATGACTGGTTCGCTGTGGAATGAGGTATGATGTTTGTCGTATTCCTTGTCCATGAGGGCTGAAATTCCCCTCCTGTTTAGGCAAAACAGGCTCTCGCCACGCTCGTCGATGTAGCGAGCAAATATGACGCCAGTGCCGCTGGTATAGACATACAATTCTTGAACTCCAACGTAACCATGACGGGAGTTACGGTAGGTAGCATACTTGCACATCACAAATCGATCCTGATGACCCTTCTATAGGACTCCAGAGTTGTCCACGAGCAATTCGCCAAATTCCAGCCCTGTGGCCCAACCACTGTTGGGAATTGCCTCAGTATGATCCTCGGCGATTATTTCCGTGACCTGTATGCTGCTAAGAGACGGGAGGATGGATGCAAGAACATGAAGCCCCTGAATGTGCTCATCATTACTGATGGCGCGTCATGTGAGTCTGCGCGACACCTAATGGCCGAATTCCCTGACCTATTCGCGTAGCGGACGATGTAGAGAGTGTGATCGTCTATTTTGCTAGGCTACTTGAGGCCGACAAGTGGCCACCCGGACAGGTGACTACGCATCGCTTCTTTATTGAACTTGGTGCCGACAAAGCTATAGATCGGGGTACAGTTTGTTCAGATAGGGAATTCGAGGCATGCAGCACAGTTCCTTAGAAACCTGGATGATTTGAAGCAGGCACATGTACGGGTATGCCATAACCTTACCTCACGTATCATCATCCATTTACTAAAAGCACCGTCAGGACATCGTCGACACAACGCCCTATATCGGCCAACTGAGTGCTGACATGCTTATCAAGGTCCTCGTCGGTGGTATTAATCGCCGCGTGGACACGAAGGGTGGTGATTCGGTTATGTTTTGAGTTGCAATACACTCGACAAAACACCTGTATCATATCTGGAGCTAAGGATTTGTCGTCAGCTCAGTACCCAACAAATCTTCCTGTAGCAAATATACCTATGCATGTACGTAGCCTTAGTAATTTACCAGTACTGAATCATGAGTCTCAGTCTCCCAATGCGAATGCGAGAGCCCCAAAATCAGGTGCAGCCTTAGACATCCCTCTCGCCTAGGTCTTGCTCCCCCGGCGAACGAAACGCACAACACCATCCAGTTCCGACATCCAGATCTGACCGGGGAGATCGCCTTTATATCAAGCCTCCCTCCAGGTGAGATTCAGGGACTGAGATGTAAAAATATTAATGAGAGTCATATCAAGGTGAACGTTGAGGGCCGAGCGTTGACGTGCGGACCAGAATCGGGTCAGCAGCGACTGCGACGGAGTCCGCATAAGTACTTCTGAGCCATAACCTCTAGAACATATCTGAAATTACTGGATAGTGAATAATGCATTCGAAACAGTAGGTTCCGTTGCGCATCCTATATTCGGCCCTCGACATAACTCGATGGGATGAGGTGAGTACAGGGTATCCGATGCCCTGGCAAGTACTGATGGAGCACAGCGTCACAGCCATCGTGTTAGAATGCCTTTTTTTTGAGATTCATGTCTCAACAAGAGTTGGACACGGTTTCAAAATGGTGTGCTTGAAGTCGCATGATCACGGTTGCGTTCTGATCTGAACAAACGCTTAGCGATGGCTCGCCATAGAGTCTCAGGACTGCTCAGGAGTTGTGACTTGCGGAAACCAGCTATCGTCAGGAAGCTGAGTTACTGCCCTTGATTGAAATCAAAGTCACCCACAAATGGCACATTCAAGAGGTAATTCCCCTGCGATATTTATTTCGCCTCCGTGAATCACACAATTTAAGACTAGAACAACACTCCAAAATGAGACGGTGCTCACCTATGGTTCAGCGAATGGCAGCTTCCCGGAAATCATATGTGACTCCACCTGCGTTTAACTCCAGCTGCACAAACCGCGTCCGCGTTCGACGACCAACTAAATCATGCCAGAAGACACCGATTCCTCTTACACAAGCTCAATCTTGGTTGCACGCCACTGAAATTTGAATGCATATAGCTGGAAATTGTAATGTAGAAGATGAGGCCGAAATAATGAAGTAAGCTCACGATCAAGCTCTTTCCCAACCAGTGCCGTTGCTGTGGGGCATAGCATGGAACGTTGCAATGCGTAGCGACAGGGAAACATGCACACGACTTGTCATCGCGATCGTGGAAATGCTTTGATCTGTGTTTGTATTTGTTTGGTATATACAGTGTACGACGGATTACCGACTGAGGGAGGTGACGCCGTCGGTGACGCCCGGCTAAGAAAGGAAGCGTCACCCATCCAGTACACCGTTCACCTGCCGTTTTCGGACGTGCTTTCGGCTGCCGCTCGGTCGCTCGTTTTGGTAAGTCCGTTCTCAACCCTGCCTTGTCGTCGACGTCGACGTCGTTCTCGCCCCTCACACAACAACAACAGGACACCCGCTGGCACCCGCGAGCCCTGCCGAATGAGCAGCGCAGACACTGCACCAATCACTCGACAGCACGGGACCGTGATGGCATAGTGCCCCTTCCTCCAAAACGCCTTTTTTCTCGTGCTAACTACTGTACTCAATCCCCGACATAATTCGTAATTTTATCATACCTACGCGACTCTAATTTCCGTTTCCCGTGTTTCAGACTCGAGCCCACACTGTCAGGTCCCTGCCACACTCAATATCACACATTTTCACGTCAATTCACGGGGCTCGGGAAAGTACAAAAACGAGACTCGCTCGGCGTGCAGTACCACCCGTGCTCAACCTCCTGGTAAGTCTCCATGCTCTTGTCTGCGATGTTTCCCAGGTTGATGTGTTCCCTTCGTCGTTTCAGATCCCTTAACCATGAGTTCCGACGCGAGCCACGCACCTGCAAAGATGTGTCACGATAACCCATCTGACGTCTTCGACAAACGCCCTGCTAAGCGCCCGCGGGTTCAACTGCGAGTTGGCCCAGCTCCGCATCATGCCCCTCCTGTCTCTTCGAGTGAGCACCTTGCCTCCAGGGCAAGGCAGAAGTGCCGCGGTGCTGGCACTGCACCAGGTGCGTGTCTCTTTCGATGTGTGTGTGTTTGCTGGCGGTACTGACAGTTTGCTGCTCATAGGACCAGGTACCGAACCTGTCGCATCATGCCTCGTTGCTGGTGCTCACCCTCCCATCCCTGATGGACTGATCACCATGGATCCTAGCGAGATCTCCGTCAAGGACCCGTCGCCAGCTCCCTGTGCAGCCGCGCTTGTTGAGCCGTCTGCTGCTGCCTCCGATGGCATGCAGCGCTCCCTCGATGCACTGGATGTGACCTCCCACGAAATTCGGCTCCGCCTTGTGGCGGAGGAGCGTGCCGACAAGGGTACCAACGAGGCATATGCACGCCACGTCCGCAATTATATCACCTACTGGGACAGATACCAAGCTGAGATGGTTGCTGATACCCCAGCATGGACCTCTGTCCCCGCGCTGCTGATCTTGGCAGCCAAGGTGCTCATATTTCTCAACCACGAGCGAACCCGAGAGAAGGTGGGTTCCTGAGCCTGATGGCTCGTTGATCTATGCTGATTGACTCCTCCTTTTTTCATCAGCGGAAACCAGGATCGAGCAACACCATCCCTGGCTCGAATGTCGGGAAGTCCGTTATCCAGCAGGCCATCAGTGCCCTTGAGGACTGGCGGATGAGCCACTACCACCTCTACCTTGGTGTGCCTGAGGCTCAAGTCCGGCTGTGTGACGACAACCGCATCCGGCAAATTGAGTCTGCTGCCAAACATGACGAGCCGAAGCGTGCGGAGAGCTCCCAGGTACTCAAAGCCTCTGGGACCACTGTCAGGTCAGTGTTCCTTTGCTCGTTGTGCCTGTTTTGAGGGTCGCGATTGATGTCTCTGCCCTTGCCCAGATGCATACACCACCGAAGAGCTCACAAAGTGCTCGGCATGGTGCCTGACCAAATTCTCGGGCACTCGTCAGGTGTTTGTCGGTCTCCGTGACCGTGCCATGCTGCTATTTGGTGCCTCAACAGCATTGCGAGGTGAAGGCACCAGAATGTTGCAGCTGTCCGATCTTTTCCTCTCTGAAGTTTGCATAGATGACATTCAGTTGGGGTACACTGTCCCGGTGAGCAATCACACAGTGTTTGTAGTCAGTATTAGATCAGGGCTGATGCCGCTGTGTGGTGTATGTATGTAGGTGCTCGTGGCACTGGCTGACAATGCGAAGAGCAACCAACATGGCCGTCTCGACGAGCATGGCACCCTGCGACATTTTCATGTAGAGCTCTGCCCTGTCGGAGCCCTTGCCATGCTTCTTTTCGCGTGCTTTCACATAGTCTCACAACCTGTCCCTGAATTTGCTCCTGAGTTCTCGAAGGTGGGATATGGTGAATTTGGCCACCGGTCGTGGTACGACCTGTATGTCTTCTGGGGTGAGAGACCTGACAGGCAGATGTCTTATGACAGTGGGTGTTTCTTTCTGCGTGCTCTAGGTACAAAAATCGGGATCATCGAACCTCCCCACAGATCACTACGACCGAGTCAAGCTCATACACAGCAAGAATGATATTAGCCTGACGAAGGCCACGCACGCCACCCGACACTTCACGGCGAAGACTGCATGAGCACATGGGGCATCTGGCAATGATGTGAAAGCCATCGGCTGCTGGAGTGTCAATGATGCCTTTGCCAACTGTTACGACCGTGCCCTCCCGCTCGAAGGGCTGCTTGGTGCGGCCATGTTCAATGCAAGGAAGCCCGAGCAGTACTTCCTAGCTCGGGACCATCTCGGTAAGCTAGTGTCTGCCATCTGACAGCTTGCCCTCACCTGTGATTCGAAACCAGAGCCTCCTGCAGAGCTCCTCTCGCAGATTTTTCCATGGGTCGAGCAGGAGAGTGCTGCCCTGCAGCAGCGAGAGGCAATGCTCGGTCCGTGCGGGACGGGATATTGCCTTGAAGGGCTTCCTGCGACTCCTCATGTGGCTCCGTCGGGTCCTTATACAGGATGCTGCTGTCCTATTTGTCAAAGACCCAACATGCCCAATATTTGGGTTTGCACCCTTTCGAGGTGATGTGTTCCATGAATTTGCAGCAAGCTCGACAGCCGTGCTCACCAGGGTCGACAAGGAGGCCCGGTTGGCACTGCAACACCTCCCAGAGCAGTATGCCCGAAGCATGCAAGGATTCGTCGCATCATCACGCCTTGCACAGGAAGAAGCCAACCGAAAGAATGCAGAAGAGCTTGCACTGCTTCGCGAACAGGTTTCACGACTGGAGATGGCAGCTGAGTCTGGTCGACCTCGTCGTCGTCGTCATGGTGAGTCACAGTCAGCAGTTTTTCACACACAGGGAAAAGAAACTGATAGGTCGAAAGGTGCTCTGCCTGCCACTGTAGTACCTCCAGTGGCACTCGGTCCTGCAGTTCCTCCCCTCAAATCAGCCACAACAGCAGCATCAAGTGTATCTTCAGGCCCACAGATCGCTCCACTTTCACTCTTCCCACCCCCCACTGCTCATCCTGCCCCTCCCGCCATGCCCATCATCATTCCCCCACCAACTTCTGTGGCTACCAGCACTGATGCTGCTACTGCTGCAGACCTCGATGCTCGTCAGCAGCAATGGACCTCTCTGGTGGACTGATTTGGTGCCGAGCGGCTGCTGAAGCATAGCTGGGAGTGGGTATCAGGGGATTATCTTCCCCTGTACACCTTCCAACCTGTCACCCGCATCATGCAAGTTTGGGATGAGTATGTTGCTGGGTTGAATGGATTTCTCGCAGTCCGTGACCTTGACGAGCGCTGGCAGGCACGCTGGAGACGTAACATCAGCACTCTGCGAACAGAAAACTGCCGACGGAAAAAAATCACAGTTCTGGTCGAGACACTCGCACGGAAGCCGAACTGGAGTGTCAACCTGGCACTCCGTTTTCTGCGCGAGAAGTACGAGACCCACCCTGACCTTAAAAAGCCTCGCACGTTCTGTGAGTATCTGCAGAAGGGGGGTGGGAGTGGCACCAAGGATGCACTCGCAGCAGCTGCCAATTACCCTTGATTCATCTCTCGCTGACAGTCTTCTTCGCTCACAAGCTCGATCGAGCTCGATCTTCTCTATTTTCATTGGCATAATTTTTTCATACTCTACCTCTGTAATGAGCACATATTGTAGTATCACAGTTTTTCTCGAAAAGATCTATTTGATTCAGCAAAAAAAAAAAGAACTAGGATGGTAAGATGACGAGAATGCTGTGAGAATGCTAGCGGCAACCTTCAGTTCGAGAACACCACCGGCAAGAGAAGAATTGCACCCACAGACAATAAGATGAGAATGCTGACAACTTTCAGTTCGAGAATGCCACAGCGAGGCCTCGGGAACGGGAACAGAGGAGGTTGTCTTGGGAGGAGTTGTCTTTTCGAAATGGGGAAGAGAGTCGTCTGCAAAACCGGAAGGTCAGGTCATCTGCAAAATGAGGGACTCACACCTCTCTCTCCCTTTGTGGTATTACTGACCCTCGGTTACAAGGCCATAGTAGCATGGATCTATAAAGAAAACTAAGAGGACACAGCTGAACGAGAATGCGCCAAGGAAGAGGAGTAGAGGAAACACGCACGGAAACACACACCAAGGAGCAGCTGGCAGCCTGCAAGATGTCTCGCTCTTGCTCGCAGTGTGTTCTCGTCCTCATCGGTCGGCATGTATTCGGCGGGCAGCGGCAGGCTGGTAATCCTCCCTGCCTATGTACTCCACCGAGACGATGGCGTCACCCAAGCGTGTACCGGCGGGTGGCTTCGTGACGCGCAGTTACCTTTTCGAGCGGCGTCACCCGTCACCTCGGTGGCGCACCGAAACCCGGATACATAGGTGGTATGCTGCACGCGTTGACCTCGAGGAGAAGGGCACGCTACAGATTATAATTTACTAGCTTTCAGATATCTTCTCTACCATCCTTCCTTTGTTTTCTGATTTCATTATCTTCAAGTATCGAGCAGAGCAGACGGTCAGAACGATAAACAATGGTCTTTGGTCTATTCGCTCGCAAGCTCGATCCTTCATCCAATACCCAACTACATACACCCTCGACATCTCCCTCAATTTCTCACACAAAACCCCCTTCTTCCTATCCCCAGCCGAATTCTCACTCCCCCGAACCCGAGCCCGAGTCTCAGCCTGAGGTAATAGACCCAACAGCCCTCTATGACCTCATACGTTCCGTCCCTCCTCAAACATTCCACCACCACCACCGCCCTCCCCACACACACTCACCATCGTCTCCCGTTTCTCCTGCGACCAATCCCCGTCACCCCAACTCCATTGCGTGCGCTGCCACGTATCCTTCGATCTTTCAAACATGGACACATCTTGCCGCATCGATGGTGAGGGTGCACTTGTTGATCACTTGGCGTATCAGACGGTGTGGAGCTGCTGTGAGGGAAGTGTTGGGATGGTGCTATAAGGGGAGACATACAGTGAGTATCTATATTGTACTTCATATTTCAAACACTGATGACAGATACAGACAGACATCTAACGTGTGCGCTTCCTCCAGATTCGTCCATCCACGACGATAACATAGTCCCACGCGCTTCGGTAGGGTACCACAGCCGGAAATGCAAGCACAGCGTATCCGTCTCCGCCAGTATAATCACAAGGAAGAAGGCAAATGCGAAAGCAGTCAACAATCCCTCGCCCAGGTCAGCTACTAGTGCTACCGCTTCTAAGGCATCCGACTCGCCCAAGCCCACCGCAAAACCCATGTCCAGACTTCCACATCTTCACTTTCAGTGATGCTCACCCAACCACGCAACAGACCCCAACCTAAATCCAACCTCCACCAATCTGACGTCGCTTCTCCCACCATAGACGGCGGTTCCGAGAAGGAGAAGGAGAAAGGGACGAGGGAGAAGGATGGGGATGGGGATGAGAGGGGGCGAGGAAGGGCGAGGAAGGCGAAAAAGAGTCGTGTGGGTTGAGTCTACCCTGTTTGAATCACATATAGTATTATTCCGGTGTGTCTCACTCCCAATAACCCTCCTTGGGCACGCTATCCTTTCTCGCCCTCTTTCCCCATAACTCCATTGCATGTGCTGCCACACCTCCTTCACCTCCCTCTGATAATAACAGCACCCTTGTTGATCTTACGGTTCATGAGATGCTGTTGGACTGCTGCATGGGAAGCATCGAGGAGAAAGCGTATATAGCTCCTACCAGTGGTGAGCGTTTGTCTCGTTCTCTAGATTTCGAACCTAATTCCAAGTACAGATATCAACCTAACACACTTCTGCGCAGCTTCGACTATCAACGATGACAAGCTCATTGCACATAATAAAGTGGCGTATTCATCGCAGGCGCTGGCGAGTTGGTCTGGAGCGTCGTGTGGTAGACATACAGTGCAGCAGTTCAACTCGTCAGTGTCAGAAAGACTGGCGTACACGACCGCTCGGATAGGTATGACCACTAGCTTTTTAAATATGGCGTGCGTACTAACTAAAAACTGCATCCTATTATCCTCAGAGTTACGAGTATTTTTATTTCATTCTGCGCTACATATCTAAGGCGACAGACGCCCGTCCTCACACCTCAGTCTCGTTAACCGTTGACTGAGGCTCGTGCACTAACTCTTACCTTTGATACTCTGCTACTTCTCCGGCTATCAACCCAGTTGCTCGTTCATTCAGGTCATGCATTGCCTATTACTGATGTTCCTCTTGCGCAGGGGTAAAGAGGTACGCTCGGTTTATTTTCCCCACTTTTTCCAATCTTATCCATTCGATTGTAGTGCAACGCTGCAGCGGATGTGAAAACTATGTTTCTACTCCTTCACCGAAACCTCACAACAACGATCCGCAGGAGGCGGACAGCATGGAAGTGGCCGGTTGTGCGGCTGCTTCTAAGCGGTCTTGATGATGTTCGGGTAAGTATTTTAGCCAGTGTTAGCACGCCTTACTTCACTCTTTGTTACGCGTGTTATGCTTATTCACATTTCGTGCTCCGCTTCGACAGCTCTCTTTTCACTTTGCTATTAGTCCTCTGGAACGGTTTCCCCTCAGTACATTAAGGTGAGCTTATGTGCTCCCAAATGGACAGACGTCGAATCTCACGATTGTGGGGAACACTTCCCAGCATATCGTCGATTCCGCAGCCAACAGCACCAGTCTCTGTGCGTATTCTTTTCTTACGTTCTTTAACTGCGCATCTCGTACTCTCTCCTTCAAACTACCCGCTCCACGGAAATTACGACACTTATCACGCATACCTTAGTGATCGTATGCGACTCATTGCGACCGCCCTCTCCGCGTCCATACTATTTGATGCCAAGAATTTCCTCACAACTATGAATACGGAACTGTGTGCTGTCAACCTTTGGAAGTGAGACATTGTGGAAACCACGCCGCTTCATCCAGGACCACTTGGTTCGTTGTATGCCATTGCCTGTATCGTATTTTGGACTACAGTCAGTCTTGCGGCAATCAATTGGCTCATCATTGGTATTGCTCGGATCATATCTTCTTGGGGTCGTGAACTTAGCAGATCGGGTTCAGGCATGTGGCGCCAGTTTGAGAGTATTGGATTCATTCTTGCCAGTGTCACCAGTAGTGACGCCCCCTGCGTTGATGAGATTTTGTAAGCATTTTCACCTGTTCGTATCTTTCCAGTACTTATTGTCCATCGGGCTCTCGGTATCACCCCTCACACGCAGTGGCGTGCAGTCATAGGTATGTGTCCAGTGGCCTACCTTCATTTGTAAATAGCAAACATGATGTTCCACCGCATGTATGTACTCATATATTTCAGATCCCCTACTTTTGCAAACCGCCTGGGCGTCGATGACTTACAGTAGGTTTAGATTATGAACATTCAGAACAATTGTCTAACACATTGCAGATATCACGTTGGACGGGGTCTCGCGCACTGGAGCCCGCAGAATGTCCTACCATATAACCCACCATCAGATCTTGCCGATCAGTCCGGGGATCTCTCTTCCGTTATCTACATTAGCCCGTGGATCCCGAATATGATTTTCGACACAAATGGAGATCGGATCAGATCATAAAGCGGCTTTGGCCACAACTACACATTCCTTAAGAGACGTTGCTTCCGACCGCAAGTCAGCTCTTTTCATTCCAGCGTGCTCATAGGAAACCTTGTGGGCGTTCTATTTCCCGTCACAATATTCAACAGGATGCTCGGCGTCTTCAACCTTTAGCATTTGGCCTTCTTCGTTGCAGTTTCGCTTTGGGTGCCAGCGGAGAACAATAGTTTCGAACATTGCATGGAGACCACCTTTATACCAACGCCATCGTCTAGCATACGCTCATCCAATCTTCTCCCACTTAACAGACGGACTTACGCATTCTTGTAGATGTGCGCAAGGAGACAGCCTCGCACTGCTTATATCAACAAAGCCCGTACTGACGACAGTGCTCGTTCACATCGCTGTCAACTTCATCTTCTCGAAAAAGACGATGGACACTTCCTTGTACTTGGCACTTCGCACATACGGCATGCCTGCCTTTGTCTCGATATCTCTTTGCTATGGTTCATCCTCAACAAGTCGCGGGTACAGGCAGTGGTTCCTGCACTGCAAACACTCTTCAACTTGCCAAGTTAAATGAGGATGACGCACGGCGTGCTTCTTGAATTGTTTGAATTTTCGTTCATTCAATTCAAACAACAGGTACTCGTGGCTGCTTCCATAGGGTATAACGACACCTTGTCATATGATGACGCCGCCTTGTGGGACGTATCATCCAAGTCTGTGCGCACTCTATTCATGCTCTTCTCTAACCTGGATTTCACACAATTGATTGACTTCTCCTGCGTTTATGGTACAGTTCAAGAACCAATATTCACCCGGTGCCAGTCATTCTTTGATATTCGCCCAACCTCTCAACGCGCTCGTGAAGGCGGGAATCGGAACCATTGAACTCTCATCGTTGAGCGAGACGTTCTGGAAGACGTTTTAACCAAAGCTGCGAAGTCCGACTAGCAATCGCAGATCGACGTGATTTCAAGATCGTTATATGATGTCCGGAGGGGCACATCGACACCTCGTCTGCAGTGTCCCGCATGAACTCGGTTTGTTAAATGCGATTGACATAGTGAGCACTTATGCCACGTGGAGGGGACTGGCCTGTGGGCATAATACAAATGCTTGAAGCTGCACAGCACGCGGAATGCGAAACAACCGCAGCGAGCGTCTGTAGGTCGGCTGCTCTCGGGTGTGACAGGAGGGGCTAACGTGGACCCAATAGGATGGGTTCTAGTAAATCCTGTATCGTAAAAATAAACGAAGATGATACCGACAAGTCGCCGTGCAATATCAGATTGATAAATCGATTTGAAATGTTCAGTCACATGGAATTCAACGACGCTGGATGCTCAGTGAACTACGTACATAACGGTGTCAGCAAAGTGAGGCCGGGGTGCATTTAGGTGCTCTTAGCTCTACCTACCGTGGGATATATCCTTCTCATTTCTCCACCAATTCACTGATGACATCTCTCCGTGGACGAACATGGCTGCTCCCAGTCTTCCAGGCGTTGGTTATCGGACTGGACGGTGAACACTGAGGCAAAAGTAAAAGTAAACGCCTGATGCTTGCAGTCGATAAACAAGGGTGAGCAATGTGAGAGTTATCGTTCAGATGACGCGCGACAATAGTGCAGTACGCTTGTGGAACTGAGAAAGAGCCTATACGGCAGAGTGTATTAGCAGGGAACAACTTGAACAGCGCTGAATCATAGCACTAATATTTGCCAGCCACGAGTGTGATAGTCATTCACCTGTGGGAACCTTGACAAAGTACCAATCCAGCTCGCACTGCAGTTTCATTTGCAACGTCTTGCTGTAGCTACATAGCCTACTAGATAAATCACAACGAATACTCGGCACAGGTCTCCGCTTTGAGCGCTCTTGTATAAAATGTCGTTTGGATCGGGTCCCCGCATTTCCCTGCCCACCTTGATACCACTGCTAAACGCATCTTCGAGTCTGCATCGTATTGCCACCAGCCTGAGGTAAAGGTTTCTACTATGTCCAACAGATACTCAGGATGCGTTCGATTGATGATGAACCTGGATGAACAGATCAGAACGAATTGTATTGGCATTGTACCGCTATCAGCAACTTTGCTACTCGCCTGAGGTATGTACAAGTGTGGCCGTAAGTAAGATGCTGAAGTTCACCTAATAATTTGTAGCCGATCGCGTCTATAGAGACGTTTTGCAGCGCTACCTGATCGTAACATTCATTGACGCCCACGCAAGGTGAGAGGCATTGTACGCTACATGTTTTGTCCCACAAATTCATTGAGGTTTGTGATAGTTTAACAGTCATGGATCGATCCACAAAAGACCGCCTAGACGAATTCGATCAGCATGTGATGAACCACATCCCGATCCGCCTTATACGCCTGTCAGACATGACGCTTGTTAGTCGTGAGGATGTGAGGGAGCACTTCAGGGCGCGTTTTCTTCAGTCTTATCATCCACCATCGAAAACTGTCAAGTACGCCACTCTGTCTCATCGATGGGGCGAAGGAGAGCCCAGCTATGATACATTTGAAGAGATGAAGAAGTCCGAGCTTAAAACTCCAGGATTTGAAAAGCTGATGAACTTCTGCGAAAAGGCTAGGGAGTACGATGTGGAATTTGCGTGGTCGGACACTTGCTGCATCGACAAGAGCAGCAGTGCCGAGCTCGACGAGTCGATTCGCTCCATGTTCCAGTGGTATCGCAAGTCGGAGATCTGCATCGCGCATCTGGCACAAAGCAAGACAATGGACGACATACCGCGCGACGAATGGACGGAGAGAGGTTGGACCTTACAAGAACTCCTTGCACCCATCCGTATCAAATTCTTCAACCAGCACTGGATACCCATGACGCGTAATCCGAATGACAAACATCCTGACACGGAGCGCTCCGGGTGCATCATGTTGAGCACTCTGGAAAGCGCCACTGGAATTCCTCGTCGTGACATCTGCGACTTCGCTCCAGCTGCATTTTGGGTGAATGAGCGGATGCAGTGGGCAGCCAGACGCAAAACAACAAGGGTCGAGGATATGGCCTACTCCCTGATGGGAATATTTAATGTCAGCCTGCAGATCGCGTATGGAGAAGGAGAGCGCGCTTTCGGCAGGCTCATTGAAGCCGTCATGCAGGATGGCGACCCTTCTGTCCTGAACTGGACGGGCCAGGCTGCAAATTACCACAATTCGCGTGCTGTTCCTCGATCACCGCAGTGCTTCGTGGGCGGTCGAGGGTTGGATCTTGGATCTGGGAGACTGGATATGACTATGACCAGTCTTGGACTGCGAGTCCCTCTAGTGATACTCCCTCTCGATCGCCGTTCGACAAGGGACAATGACAATAAAATGCACGTGACATTGGAATGCTCGCTGTGTCCAGCCATCAAGATTGATAGCGCTAGCGCCAACGAGATCTTCAGCGGCCCTGGAACACCGTACGCAATCGGGATTGTCAACTATTCCGTCATCAGTGATGGAACACGCGAATTCCTAATGATCAGGGGCAAGTCGGCTGGCTTCCTCCTGTTCAAACCTTCACCCGAACGCGCTTCAGAAGCTTCAAGACCGGTTAACTGTGTTGGGCTTCAGTTTGTGCCTTCCCCGGAGCAGGTGGCGTTTTCATGGAAGGCGCTAAATGGAGGCTTGGCCGAGGTTCACTTCCCGAATATCTTGAGTGACGACATTTTTTACATTAGTCGTGAGTACCTAGAGATTGTCTACCTGTAGCAGTTCCTCTACGATAGCGAACATCGCCAGGACTAAGTAGTTGTAAGTAGTGTTGCTAACTGTTGTCTGCTTGGGATATGCTTTACTGTACAGTGTAGATGACCATCATCACCTTGGAGACTGCATGTGAGTTGTGTTCCCCTCGAGCAGAGCGTGATAGACCATGATCTAAATCGGCTTGTCGCCAGCACCCTCCTCGCTTAAGCTTCAAAGCTTCATTACGCATTACTCACATGGCCCAGCATATATGGACCTTCGCCCTGCTGACCATTTAGCGGCCAGAATGACCCTCCCTTACCCTCTCTCCGCCAGCGGTAACCAGCCTTCGACGGAAGATCTCACCGCACAGTGCACTAAGGCACTCGAAGAAGACCAGTCTCCCATAGTCAGACTGTCTATATTGTTCTCACGCACCCATGAAGTCATGCCCACACCTTTCTCCAGCTATGCGCCATTCAGTGGCGTGCAACCTAGTCCTCGCCCACTTAAGGAAGGCCTGTCCGATGCTGTAGCAGTTTTCTCTTTTTGTCCCCGTTCTATTAGTCTTAGTCTCCTCCGTTCTCTCTATCATCATGCGCACAAGCCCAAAAACATGATTTCTACCACTTAAACTGTGTAACTCACGGAGGCAAACTAAGTATCGTATGTGATTTACCCCGGAGTTTTAAGCTCGGACTTCTTCATCTCTTCAAATGTACCAAGATCATGCGCAACCTGGATACTTTCACTATAGATGATGTTGAAACTTCTGTTGTTAGCGATTGTCATAGTGGGATAAAGAGTTGCAGCTCCTCTGGGCGTGATAAATGACATATCAGCGGTGGTTGGACAGTTGATGATGACCCTTATAACATCTTGTTTGTCCCTAGATTCAGTGAGAGTGATGCGGGCTCCGAGGTGGTTGAATTCTGTAAAAGTTTGGACTGTAGATCGCATAATTCTGTGTATGGTGGTAGAACCGGTGACAAAAAAAAGGTCGTCGGTTAGAAATCGTGCCATAGTGTCGAATTCTCCCGCTGCAACAATGATATTGAGATTGTTGGTGGGATATGAAGGTGAACCTAGAATCATGTTGAGAGCGCAAGATCCAGTAATCACACCGCGTGTGGCGGTTAAAACGGCGAAGAATTGATGGCGACGACACTCAGAAAGGATGTACAGAGTCAGGATCTGGTGTTTGTATTTTTCTATGAGGTTGAGAACTACCCCACGCATGGTCGTGCACGTCTGCGCAATATTGAGCAAGTCTCGGAGGTTTAAGCCGTCTAGTATTGCAACTACAAGCTCTTTGGCAAGTAAAACTTGAGTGGAGTGTAAGTGGTATGGGTGGCCATATGTGATGTGTCTCGTTCAATCAATTTCATATTTTTGACAGTGGGTAGCGCGTACGTGTGAGGTTAACTTTCAGTTGAACGCACAGCTTGACGTGGTAAACGTAATAGCACACGATGCTGGTGGAACGCCCGCAGGGATTTGCCGGGGTTTGTGTGCACGAAACATTCCGATATCTACTATTGTAAGAACGGGGCGTTTGATGTAAGCTGGTGGCACACCGAAAATTAGTGGCTGATCGTGGCTGATCGTTAACGTCGGTGTAAATACTACGAAAGAAGTGACATAACAGAGTTTTAAACTCGTCAGAATAAAAACATTATTGTCGGAATAATTTTAAAATCACACAATAAATGGTGGCATGAACAGTGCCCGTGCATTCGGGAGAAGCAACGCTGAAAGCAATAAGAAAAAGTATATCGGGATTTGCCGGTGTTTGTGCGAGTGCACGATTTAGAATGAACTACTGTACAAGTACTTATGTTGCAATGTACATGACAACAGCGACCCTCTGATTCTTCAACTATGGAGAACACAACCTTCAGTCAAACAGCATCTAAGTTGTTGGTCAGTGGGGTTCAAAGTTCTCTTCTAACTCCCGTCGGATTGCTCCTATTTCATCCACCTACTCGTCCTACGTCCCTGCATACATCTGTATCGTCTGTGCACCGTTTCAAAGACGAACCAAGGCTATCATGGGAAACTGCCTGTCAAATGGGCCATCACGTTCCAGTGAGGGCCAATTTGGTGACTTGTGATGATGATCGTGCAAAGGAGAAACGATTATCTCTTGTTGGGCACACCAGCAATTATATATCAGCGCTGTCA